TCTTCTGGCATGCAGGGATACATGCAGGCATAACACCGTATACATAATAAACAAATAAATCTCAAAAAAAAAAATGTTCCCTAAAGCACTGGAGATGAATTCTGTGGGGGGTGAGTGGCAGAGTCCTGGAAAGCCAAAGGCAATCTCATCTGAGATGGACCCAGGCACAGCTGGGAGATGGGGACAGAGCACTCAGTACACACAATGTCTGGTTGACAGCAATACCGGGACACCCAGTTCTACACACAGGAAAACACGAGCTAGAATTGTTTCCTCACATCCCACATACAAACATTATCCAGATGGACGGAAGGCTAACTATCAGCCAACTGCAGGTCTTTAGGGAATATCCTATGAGCTCACTGCGACTACTCAGACATGAGCCCAACCGAGCAAGCCTGGATCAGAGAGCAGACACTTTGGGACAATCAATGACTTTCCAGCCAAGTGCCTAGTACCCAGGTCACACAGGGCCTGCCAGTCAGGAATTCCTAAAAAGAAGATGGGGGGCTGCAGTAGGTGCTTCATGGAAGAGAGGGTAAAGTGTGTTCTCTCTTCAGAAAAAGTCTCAGTGGCTCTCTAACACACAGTAAATGAGATGGGTAGTGCTGGCACATGCCTTTAATCCCAGCATGCAGGAGGCAGAGTCAGTCAGATCTCTGTGAGTTCAGGGCCATCCTGATCTACAGAGGGAGTTCCAGGACAGCCAGGGATACACAGAAATCCTGTCTGGAAAAACAAAACAAAAATATACTAATTGCTCAAGCCAAGTGTGGAGTAAGAGTCAGAGTAAGCAAAACAGTCAGGGACACTCACAAGGTTCAGCAGCCTGTAATTGTCTTGGAGCAAAACTTGGCATTTAGTGAGGTCCAACACAGGCCTGTGCTGTGGCCAGTAATTCTGCTCTCACGATAACTGTCCAGACAACAGCTCCGAGCCCATTTCCATTTTGAAAAATCACACAGCAGAAAAGTCCAATACTGAAAACATTTGAATGACCCCTTCAGTGTTGACAGGGCTTTACTTTCAAAAGTACAACGTGACCAAAAGAAGCACTCCTCAGGACAATGCTGTGCTGGCTAGTTAGTTCTGTGAGTCAGATGAGAGGAGGGATCCTACTGAGAAAACACCTCCATGAGATTAGCTGAAGGCAGTCAAGACTGTGGGGCATTTTCTTAATTGGTAATTGATGGGGGGGAGGGTCTTCCCATTGTGGTTGAGGACATCCTCCCACCTCAAGCTGGTGGTCCTGGATTTTATGGGAAAACAGGGTGAGAAAGCCATAAAGAGCAAGTCAGCAGGCAGCACCCTTCCACAGCCTCTGCATCAGCTCTGGCCTCCAGGTTCCTGTCCCGTTGAGTTCCTGTCCTGACTTCCTTCAATGATGGACTCCAATGTGAAAGGGTCAGCCAAAAGACCCTTGCTTTTGGTCATGATGTTTCATTTCAGCATTAGAAACCCTGAAAACCATGGGCTTGGAGATGGCTCAGCAGTTAAGAGCTTGTACCACCCTTGCAGAGGATCTGAAGTCAACTCAGAGCACCCATGTCAGGCTGTGACTCCGGCTCCTGCAGGATCCAATGCCTCTGGTTTCCAAGGTCACCTCCAATACACTATTTAGAGACACATAGCTATATGGTAAATAAGAAAAATGAGGGCCAGGTCACCATCTGATTTAAGAGAGTATGTTCCTGTAGTGGGGGAAGGACACTCCCCACAGGGGGTGGAGGTCTCACATGTGAGCTCTTCCACACAAGTTCCCACTTTTGTTATTCTTATCAGCTGACCCTGCGTCCCACCTACCCAGTTACAAACTGTCCGCACTTCACAAGGCAACCTTCCTTCCCTTCCTCCTGAGCCTTTGTGAAGTCTACTCTCTTCAGAACAAGTGCATATACACACACACACACACACACACAATGAAGTTCAAGACCATGCTTGGCTCACTGTGTACGCCTAGAACCTATCTTTGGCTTGCACTGGACCCAGTGGCCTGTGCTTGTATTCCCAGCACGGAGGAGGCAGAGGGTAGCTCTGCCTGGGGGTTGTTGGTCAAGCAGCCTAGACTAATCAGTGCACACACCAGAACCAAGGTAGAGGACAAATGGATATATATTAGGGAAGCACTTACACAGATAAGGGGAAATAACCACCGTGGTTTTCTTGCTCCAGAAAATGTGATCTCTGCTCTTCCCACGCTCTGCTCTCTAAAACCCAAGAGGGCGCCTCTACCCTATAATGGATCATGTCTGCACCAGAAACCATGCCCAAAGGGTGTGGTCACTAGCACAAGTTCACTAACAAGACAAGATGCCACTACACATGCAGAGTTCCCCACACATAAATATACATCTCATCCATACATATACATCTACACCAAAAGAAAATTTGGGGGGGGGTGGAAGAGGGTACTGGAAGACTTAAGAGCACTTGCAGAGGACCCAGATTCCCTTCCTGACACCCAAGTGGCAGCGCCCAATATTCTCTAACTCCAGTTCTAGGAGATCTCTGTGCCCACACATATATCCAGGGTAGCACTCATAGATATAAAATAAAAAATACTTATTTTAAAAATGGATTTATTTTAGGGTACCAGAGAGATGGCTTGGTGGTTAAGAGCCCTGGTTGCTCTCCCAGAGGACCAAGATTACATTCCCAGCTTCCACACAGCAGCTGACAACTGTCTATAACTCTGGTTCCAAGGGACCTGATGCTCTCCTCTGACCTTCGTGGGCATCTGGCATGCACATGGTACACAGACATATGTGCAGGTAAAATACCTATACACACAAAATCATAGAATAAAATAAAGACAGTAGGAAAAATTATTTTCTTCTTTTCTTTTTCTTGAGACAGGTTTTCCCTGTGTGGCCCTGGCTGTCCTTGAATTTGCTTTGTAGACCAGGCTGGCATTGAACTCAAAGATTCACCTACCCCTGCCTTCTGAGTCCTTGGATTAAAGGTCTGAATGACCACTGATCTGCAGAGGGAGAAATTCTCATTTTATTTGTTTATTTACTGTTTTTAATTGTGGGGTATGTGTGTTTGCACAAGCATGCAGGTGCCCAAGACAAAGACATCCGATCCTCTGAACTGGAGTTACAGGAGGTTGTGAGCCACCTAATGTGGGTGCTGGGAACTGAACTTGGATCTTCTGCAACAGCACTATATGCCATTAACTCCTGAGCCATCCCTCTTGCTCTCTAAAAGTACATTTTAAAAGAAGGCACAGGAGAAAGGAGGAAGGAAGGAAGGAAGGAGGAGGGAGGGAAGCCTTGCTGAGGATCTTTTCCACTGAGGGTATTTCAGCTTTTGGAAGAAGTGGACAACCGAGATGGGGCAGATGAGGTCTCATCGGGTCCAGTGGGAAGCCCCAGGCAGAGGTCGGGGAGGGAGACTCTGACTCTAAGCCTCCACATTCCTCTGCTTGAGCCTGAGCCAAACCACACACAGCACATCTGGGGCTACGCCGCCCAGGGCCTGAAGCCATCGACCCTTCTTTTTAGCTCTGGCTGGTTTCAGCCTATGTCCTAGCTATTCCCAACCAACCCTGGGCCTCTTGCCGTTCTTGGCAGGCTAATCTGGGTACTTGGCCATGAATGTCTCCCCAGGGTAGGGGCCAGAGGCTTTGCCCCATCTCTCACTGATCTTTTCAGGGCCTCACTTGCCCACCAGGAAGCCCTGTTTGGCTTGGAAGAGGGGTGCTGGCATGCTGGTAGCTCCCCGTGACCAGAGCCTTTTCATGTGCTGTCCCAGCCTCTGATGCCTCTGCCTCTTCTGGCCTTTCAGGGGTGGAAAAAAGGACTTGGGGGGAACATGGGATGTGGGAGCTAGCAGGAAACTGGAGTGTGGTGCTCAGTGCTGACCACACCCAAAGATTCCCTTCTGGAACCCCACAAGCTGTGCTTTGAAGAGATTGAGCCACCTCCCTTCTGGGGTCCTGAGCTTGAAGAAAGACGCCTTTGCTGGGCCTGAAACACCAGACCCTCAGCCAGGGCAGCAATCCCAGCCCTATTGTCCTTGTCTGTTCAGCGGCCAAGGCATTGCCCAGATGCCTGCAGCAAAGGCCACTCTTTAGCTCTGGCAGCCCTGTTCCATGGTGGTCTCACCACATGGCTCCCTGCTGCCCCATGGATGGGATTCTTTGTGTTGCTGGAATTCCCATCTTGTAAGGGCATGAAGTGGCATGGCCCCTGGCCAGGAAGCCCTGTGTACTGGATCAGTGGGAGGGGTAGAGTTAGCTCAGAGTCAGCAGAGAGCTTTCCCAGCCCCCAGCCAGTATCCCAGAACTTCTTGCTGACCAACACCCAAGCTTGCTTTGGAAGACTCTTCCTGTAGGATGACACCTGTGTGTAACTAATCCCTTTCCCCCTGTAGCCTCCTCAGTTTAGGATTCTGTCCCTCTCTCCCAGGCAAAGAGGGATGGTCAAGGTCCTGAGATCAAATTCAGAGACTGAGGTCCCATCAGCCCTCACCTTCCCTTTTGGGCTTGTGTGATGGCAGCCCATCCCTGCCCTTTCCAGTTCAGTAGCCCTGGGAGTCATCACTGCAGCTGGTACCTGCTCCACAAGCAGATGCTGAACTCCTGTGCCCTTCTGAGCCTCCAGTCAAGACTCAGTAGTTGAAACTTAATTCTCTAGGCAAAGGTCTGGCTTGCTTTTCTCAAGCCAGGGACAAATTTGGCTCTGAGGGTGCAGCACTCTCCAAGCAAGGTTGCCTAGGAACCAGCCCAGCCAATCTCCAACACCAGGAATCCTCTTATGACTGCCCAGGACAGAACTGAGCACTCTCTTTGCTAGATGGGCAGGAAGGACCATGGTTGATAGCTGTGAGGAGATCCAGCTAAGACGAGCCTGGGAGAGAAGGGGTGGTGCGGTTGAGTCACCCACGCCGCCGCTTCAGTCACCTGTGCCTTGGGAAGGCACAGGGCGGACTTTGGGTGTGTCCCGCGGTGGGTGAGCCTCGATGTGGGCGTGGCCTGCTCCAGCCCCGCCCCGGCGCCTAACTCTGGGGCCCCGGCCACCCAGGCCTCCCCGCTGCCCGCTGTCCCGGGTCCCCGCTGTGTTCTCCCGTGTGCTCCCATGGCCGGAAAGTTGCTGTCACTGTTGCCACCCCTGCTGCTGGCTGCAGTGGGTCTCGCTGGCCTGCTGCTGCTGTGCGTCCCTACCCAAGACGTCCGGGAGCCGCCCGCCCTCAAGGTGCACGCGCCCACTGCGCCAGCGCTCGTCTGAGAAGCAGCTGGCTGGGGGCTGGGGGCTGGGGGCTTGGAGCTGGGGGCTGGGGGCTGAGGGGTGGTGGGGAGTCCTCGGGGAATATAGGAGCGCGCCGGAACGCCCTGGGCTCCCGTGTCAGCGCGGGACCAACCCGCGCTGTGCCTCGGGCCGGGTCCTAGGTTCCGCGCTTGGTTTTTCTGAGTCCTCGGGGTGACAGCGACGCTTCCGGAGCTCCACGGCACTGGAGGCCAAGTTCGTGGAACTTCCTCTGCTGCGGCTTCGCGATGGAGCTGCCAGCGCGGCGGAGGAGCTAGCTGTCTTCCCGCTCCCTTCATGCGGTTCTCATCTCTGCTAGCTGTGGCAAGAATCCCTGCCCTTAGCCCGGCGTGATTTCTGGGCAGCACCCAGAGCACACCGTTATAGAAAGGCATGGTTCTAGATTCAGCTCCAGATAGGGGACAACTCACATTAGGGACCTCCAACCCCTCTCAAGACCAATGTCTGAATAGTGGTACTTGAAGGAAGCTTGCTGGTTCTAAAGGGGTCTCCGTTACCAAGCCTCAGCCTCCTCAGGCTAGAAGCTGGCACCTTTAACCTTTTACTGGTCTTGTCCTGAGTTTGTGTGAGGAATGAATATCCCAGTCTCAGGCACCCGGGATGGACACGGAAGAGCTCTGTAGCCATGCGGGGTGGACTTTGGGGTGTGGGAGTTGGATCATTGTATCTGCCTGACTCTGGAGGAGTTCCCTGGTGTGAGGGAGGATTGGAGCAGCCCTTTCCCAGGCCAGAACTGGCACATGCCCCAGGCTGGTGTCCAGCCAGGCTCTCTCAGCTGGAGCCCAGCCCCCTGGAGTAGGCTACCTTGCAAAAAAGGCCCATCCGTTGCACCCCTCAGTTCTGCAAAACCAACCTCTCCCCGGCTTTTAAATTCAGTGAGAGGCATAGATTGGAGACCTACACTCAGCCTCAACTACATCGTTTCCCAGTGGCCCTTACTTCACATCTTCAGGTTAGGCTAAAGTCTCTGCAGATACAGGAAGAATGGTGAAAGAAGGAAGTATAGCCCTTGGGTTTGGTCCCTCTGAACTGAGGACCTTGTGTCCCCAAGGCAGTTCCAGATCCTCTGTCCCTGGCCCCTCAGTGGCCCTTGCCAGGAAGTCTAGTTTCTGGTGCCTGACAGTGCTGTTCCCCAGGCAGCTGAGGGAGGAGTCATCCCAGGAACCCCTGGTCAGTCTCCTTCCATTCAAGCTGCATCACTGTGAATGCCCTTGAGGGTCTCTGAGCTTCAGCACATGCCTTTTACATAACTGATGGGAACCAAGAACTGGAATGCTAAAGGGAGTCCCTACGTCCCTCAGGCTGACTCACCCCTCCCACCCACAGTACGGCATCGTTCTGGATGCTGGCTCTTCACACACATCCATGTTTGTCTACAAGTGGCCAGCAGACAAAGAGAATGACACAGGCATTGTGGGTCAGCACAGCTCTTGTGATGTTCAAGGTGAGCATGATCTTGGGGGTTCTTGTTCAGTCTTAGCTTTACAGACCCAGTCATTCCCCTCTGCCTGCTGCTGGGTGGGGCTCACTCGGGGCAGGAGTTCAGAGTGAGAGGGTGGGTTCTCTGGATCTGGGAGGGGTGTGTGTACTTTATGTTCTACAACAGAAGTCCTGGGAAGCAGGTGGAAGCCTTGGGGGTTAATGGCCCAAGACAGGTCTCTACACTATAGAAGAGGTAGGTGGGGCTCTGAGGATCTCAGGGTGGATCCAGGCAGGTTCTTTGAAGGTTAGGCTAGGCTGACAATGCCTGAGTCTTTCTCCTGGCACCTGTGCCCACACCCACCAGGCAGACGGCAGCTTCAGAGAGTCTGGGTGGCACCTGGACCCTTTGTGTCCAAATTGGCTATCTCTGGGAATAAGCTGGGAGGCTATGTCCCCATCAGCCTATGTCCCACCAAGCCTTGGCCCTACTCCTGATCCGTCTAGGTGGGGGCATCTCCAGCTACGCAGATGACCCTTCTAGGGCAGGCCAGAGTCTGGTTGAATGTCTTGAACAGGCACTTCGTGATGTGCCCAAAGACAGATATGCTAGCACACCACTCTACCTGGGAGCTACAGCAGGCATGCGCCTACTCAAGTGAGTACCTAATCCTGACTTAGCCCAGGAATCTTCACAGCTCTTCCACAGTGTAGAACTCCTTTCCCTGGAAAAGCTGTCAGGAATGACTGGCAGAGGGCATCTGGGGATGAGCTCCATCAGAGTCCTCCCCATTCCACAGCCTGACCAGCCCAGAGGCGACAACCAAGGTGCTCGAGGCAGTGACACAGACGCTCACACAGTACCCCTTTGACTTCCGTGGTGCTCGAATCCTCTCGGGACAGGATGAAGGGGTTTTTGGCTGGGTGACTGCCAACTACCTGCTGGAGAACTTCATCAAGGTGGGCCCTGCAGCTGGCCCAAAGAGCCCGGGGTCCTGCGGACCTTGCCTGCCCAGTGTCTTACTCCAATCTCTACTTTTCACAGTATGGCTGGGTGGGCCGGTGGATCCGGCCAAGGAAGGGAACTCTGGGGGCCATGGACCTTGGGGGTGCCTCAACACAGATCACCTTTGAGACAACCAGCCCATCGGAAGATCCAGACAGTGAGGTCCATCTACGGCTCTATGGCCAGCACTACCGTGTCTATACCCACAGCTTCCTCTGCTATGGCCGGGACCAGGTTCTCCAGAGGCTGCTGGTCGGTGCTCTCCAGGTACCTTTCCACACTGGTGCCTCCTTGAAGAAGGGAGGAAGGATGAAAGGCAACAGAGCAGAGGCAGCCAGGGAAACAGCTCATCCTGATGTCAGGGACTGTAAGAGAGGCCTCCTTTTACACAGATGCACACATAGCTGTGAGGGCCACAGCAGGTCAGACTTCCATGACAATGTTCCCTTCAGCCTCAACCACTAGATCACCTGGCCAGTGCTTCTCCAGCTGGTTATGCCTCAGCTTGAAGACAGCTGGAGAGGAACTCAATGGGATAAAGAGTCAGGAAGTAGGGTCTAGAGTAAAGAGAGCCAGGGATCATCTCACAGAACCTTGAATTCCTGGCCAAAGCATTCGCTGTTTGTGCAGCAGGTAAAGGTTAGTCATAATTGTTCGTGAACATAAAAATTGTGTTGGATTTGTGGACAGTTTATCATGTTGCTTCTCTGGAGTGGGAGGCAGTAACTAGAGTGGGGAATTCTATCTATACTCTGGTTAACTCCCCAGACCCATCACTTCCACCCCTGCTGGCCAAAGGGCTACTCCACCCAAGTGTTGCTCCGGGAAGTCTACCAGTCTCCATGTACTATGGACCAGCGTCCTCAAACCTTCAACAGCAGTGTCCTTGTCACCCTTTTGGGGACCAGCAGCCCTGCTCTCTGCCGTGACCTAGTCTCTGGGCTCTTCAACTTCTCATCCTGTCCCTTTTCCCAGTGCTCCTTCAATGGGGTCTTCCAGCCCCCTGTGACTGGGAGCTTCATAGTGAGTCTGGGTAAATGGATATGGGGGCAGGAGGCACCAAGCATCTGGGGGCTTGTGGTGGAGTGATTGCGCAATCCTTTCTCTCACAGGCCTTTTCTGCTTTCTACTATACTGTGGACTTCCTGAGGACGGTGATGGGGCTGCCTGTGGGAACTCTGCAGCAGCTGGAGGCAGCCACAGAGATTGTCTGCAGCCAGACCTGGGCTGAGGTGAGGCCTGTTCCCCATCTTCTCCATGGTTTGGCAGGAGGCTGACAGCCATAGAGAGACTCAAAAAATAGCCAGGTTAGTGTGGGGGAGCTTGGGAATGGATTAGCTGGAATTTTAGTGGCTTTCTTGGGGCCTGATCTTATACTCAAGGTCTGGAGAGCAAGTGGGACAGGTATTGCAAAGGTTCTGTGGCAACAGGGCGTTCAAAATAGGCGGGAACAGAAAGGCAGGTGTCTAGGACAGAGTGTGGCAAAGAATGTGTCACCACTGGGAAAAGAATACTCAGGAAAGACTCAGCAGGGCCTGGGGTATGCCTGGAGGAGTTGAAGATGCCACCAGATTTCTGGTTCTGGCCACTGGCTGAGTACTAGTTCCAGGTAAGGAAAAACAGGGAGGTTGGGATAGTTGGAGTGTGAGGTAGCCACCAAATTTCCTGGAGAAATAGGTCCTCCTATTCTTAGGCATCCTTGAAGGTCTGGAAAAATTGGAACCAAGCGGTCAGAGGGCAACATTAAGGCTGGCCCTCTATTCCTTTGATTATGAAGCAAGGATGCTACTATCCTGTTTCCTAGTGACTATCCTTGCTGTCTCTCCATCTGGCTGTTGGAAGGAGGACATAAGGCCTTCCAGCAGTCATGTGCTTTATCCCAGAGGAGTGTCTGCCTGGGAAGGACGACTTGGACTAGGTCAATCTGTGTATTTCCGGCCATATGCCTCTCTGGCTTGAGCAGCAAGGAGGGCCCCGTACCCCACGGGTCATAGCCCCTCATAGTTTTTAATCTAATGATGTCGATGTCTTGCTCTCTTCTTAGCTTCAGGCCCGAGTGCCAAGGCAGCAGGCCCGCCTGGCTGACTACTGCGCCGGAGCCATGTTCATACAACAGCTGCTAAGTCGCGGCTATCGCTTTGATGAGCGCTCTTACAGCAGAGTGGTCTTCCAAAAGAAGGTGGGTGATGGGTGGGGCCGGAGGATTCGGGGTGCTGCCTCTTGGAAGCTTACGACACGTGCCCTCTTAGGCCGCAGACACGGCTGTCGGCTGGGCGCTGGGCTACATGCTGAATTTGACCAATATGATTCCCGCTGACCTTCCGAGACTACGTAAGGGAACTCACTTCAGCTCCTGGGTCGCTCTCCTCCTGCTCTTCGCAGTCCTGCTCTTGGCGGCCTTGGTCCTGCTCCTGCGCCAGGTGCGCTCCACCAAGTCCCCAGGCGCCCTCTAGGGGTGCACTGCGAGCTGCTCCCAGCTCCCCAGCTGCTCCCTTTCCCGGGGCATCTCTGACAATGAGTCAGCCTGGGGATCAACACCCTACATTCACAGGAAGCCTTGTTAGGCCCCTGCAGCTCTCTCCAGCTCCGAGTTCTTAAGAATTTCTCCCATCTCTCTCTTCCTGGGTTGTCAGATCTCAGCTTATGACTCAGGGTGAGATCCACTCAAACTGGGACCTTTGTTCTGATCATCAGGGCCCTAGTAACTTCCTGTGTGTAGTCAGAGCCTACAGGCTCAGAGTCAGTTCAATGCCTACTTGTAAAAGTTTTGTAATAAAAGATTTTTCCTAGAACAGTGAAGTGTTCATAGGGTGGGGCACCCTTCTGCTGCTGTTTCTTCTTCCAGCTGTGTTGGTTATTCAGATCTAGCCCTGGGTCCAAGATACTGACTTTTCTTGCATCCTTCCTTTCTGGACCAGACCTAAGGCAATGGAGACACTCCTCTATGCTGGCCTGGGTTGTCCTCTTTGATTGACGAACCCTAACAAACTTTAATTTCTCTTGATAACACATGTAGAAATTGAGGATGAACCAAGGTTTTTGGTTTTGTTTCTGCCCCCCCCCCCATCACAGACGCTCCTGAAGAGTCAGCATCCCTGCATCCCACAGCCTAACTTTCTGTGTTCTCTAGGTAGAAAAGAATGCACTGGGTATGCTACTTCTCCCTGTCTCTTCTATGGGAAATGAGTTCAGATACGATTTTTGTTCAGCTCGGAGGGCTGGGTCAGGGAGTGCACACTCACACATGGCATCATTCTTTAATACATTTTGTAAGCTTACAACAGCAAGTCTCCCCTTTGACATTGTGAGCCCATAGGGGCTGAAAGAATTGCAGGCTGGGGAACTCAGCCTTGTTCTTTTCTTTCTGTTTTACATTTTGTTGCTTTTTGTTTTGTTTTTTGAGACAGGGTGTAGCTTTGGCTGGCTCAGAGCTCACTCTGTAGACCAGGCTGGCCTTGAAATCATAGAAATCTGCCTGCCTCTGTCTCCCTAGTGCTGGGATTAAAGGTGTGTACCACCACTGTCCCACAGATTTTTTTTCCTGTTTTACATTTTTTTATAATTTTGTTTTTATTCTTTTGTTTTTATTTATTTATTTATTTTATATACATTGGTGTTTGGCCTACTAGTATATCTGTATGGAGCAATCTGATCTCCCTGCAAGAGGAGTTACAGACTGGGAATTGAACCTTAGTCCTCTAGAAGAACATCCAATACTCTTAACTGCTAAGCCACTTCTCCTGACTCCCTGTTTTACATTTTAAAGACAAAGTCTCGCTATGTAGCCCTGGCTGTCCTGGAACTTGATATGTAGACCAGACTAGTTTTGAATTCACATATGTCCGCCTACTTCTGCCCCTCTGATGGTGGGATTAAAGGAGTGCACCACCACACCTAGCTTCAACCTTGCTTTCTTGACTGAGTCAAGGGGAGGTCTCTAGATGAGATGGGGTGTGTTCTCAGGAGACTGTAAGTGAAGTGTAAACACAAGGCACTGTGGATGCTCCATGCTGGGTGACTCTAGGGAACTGAAAGCCATTACCTTGGGACAGTGACCACCTTGGACAGCTCCCAGACGCCTGTCAGCAACAACGTCAATTTACTTTTGCCCCCTGGTGGACTCACTCGGAAATGAGCCCGACTAGCCCGACTTCGTGGCTTCGAAAGCCTGGAGGCGTCTCTCAGTACACCTGTGCGTCTCTGTGCACCTGTTCATCCTTTGTTTGATACATTTTGCAAACCTGCAACTGTCAGCCTGGTCTACATAGCAAGTTTCAGGAAAGCCAATGTTTGCTCCTGGTGTTCCTCTAGTCCAAGGCCCTTTGCTCTAATAGGGTGGGCGGCTAAGGTTTGGCAGTCGGACCACTAACAGGAAGGCACGCATCCTGGGACGCCCACTCCTAGTCAATCCCAAACCAGATTTCTGAGTAATGAGGACGTATACTGCTGCAGAGGCTGGAGGGCCCGAGGCACTTAGTCGCCTGTAGAAAGGGGACCCCCCACTGGACACAGAAGGAGGGGGCTCAATCCGCAGAAGATGTCCCGCCCCCGCAGGTGGAGCGCGCAGGCGCACTCCCTACACGCTTCTCTGGCCGCGGAGCCTCCATCCCATCCCGGATCCTTTGCCGCAGCGTCAGCGCCGCCTCCTCCTCTTTTCCTCTTCCGCCCCCTCCCGCTTCCCGGCTTCTCCAGTCACGGTTCCCGGAGCCGGTACCGAGCCCGGGGCCGCGGGGTGCCATGCTGCCCGAGTGGCGGCGTTGAAGCATGGCGACGCCGGTTCCTCCGCCTTCCCCGCGGCACCTGCGGCTCCTGCGGCTGCTGCTCTCCGGCTTCATCCTCGGAGCGGCCCTGAACGGTGCCACCGCCCGCCGCCCGGGTGAGCTGTCGCTCTGGGCTCAGGCTGCGGGGCGCTCCGGGGCCGGGATCGCCGAGCGGGGAATCCTACCACTCGGCACCACCCTCGTCCTCCCTGCCACCGCCCTGGCCTCACCCGGGCCCGCAGGCTAGGCAGGACCGTTCTGCTGGGCATGGATTGGGTAAACAGGTCAGGCCCATTGAAGGCCAGGCTGGATGAGTCTTCTCTCAGGTCCCTGGAGGCGAATGTAGATGTCACGAGCTTCTGGTCTTTGTCTCTGGGTCTCTGAGCCAATTCAGCGTATGTCTCTGGATGTCTTTCTGGGCGTCTGCAGCCATCTGGTTCCCGGTGGCCCTCAGAGGGGATCCTGTGTCTTTGTTTCTGTGTCTCTGGGGTTTCCAATTGGCAGGGTTGTTCCTGGTGTCTATGGGCCTTGCTGCTGTCAGCCTTGTCTCGGGGTTCCCATGGCAGAGTCTAAGAGTTCCAGGCCCACTAGCGTCTTGTTCCAACTTAGTGGGCCAAGTTACCCCATTCCCTGCTTTGAAGGTCACATGCCACCCTGTCTTCCGGATTGAGGTCTGTGTGTTGACCCTTCGACCCCTGTGTGTGAGCCCACTCTGGGAAAACATTCTTGCTAGATGGGTCCTGAAGCTACAAGACCCAAATCTTATCTCCCTGAAGGGAATGAAATAGGAGAAGGTGCCCATATGTTCACCGAATTCTGGAGCTCTGGAGGGGAGGTGCTTTGAGCCCAATTTACAGATGAGAGAACTGAGGCATGGAGAGGTGACTGGTATGTGGGGCAACTGTGACTCTAATGAAGTTGTTCTGAGTGTGGGGCCTTAAAAGCTGGCCAGGTTTCTTCCTGGGCAGGCAGCCCTGGAGTGAAGAGACTCTTGGGGAGGGTGGAGGGCCAGACCAGGCCTTGCTCTGCCTCCTAGCTGGAGCCTCCTCAGGAATGGGATTACGGGAGCAGTGCTGAACCCCTTCTTGGGGTTCTGGTCTCTGCTCATTTCACTGTAGCTGAATGTATAGCCCTAGCATGACTGTCCCTAAGCATGCATCCCTTTACCATACCTACTGGCCAGGAGGGGCCAATAGCCCAGGATGGGTAGAGTACCAGTTACTTTCCAGCTGCCATTGTTCCTGGGAACCTCCTCCTCATGCACAGGCTGGAGAGGGTCTTTCTATCCAATAGTAAACAACTGGCTGGAGGGCTATGGAGGTCCTGCAGCCTAAAACTAGCCTTGTGCTACACACCTCTAGCATAGATCTGACTGGGTTATCAGCATCAGGGGCAGGGACTATCTGGCTCCCTGGAGCCCAGCTGGTGGGTGGAGTCCATGTAAGGCTCCCGATATAGGTTTAATGTTTAACTATCCCAAGCTCAGATTGCTGCCACTGGAGTCTGCTACGGAGGAAAAAAGGTGCCTGGCTTGGGATTCTGTGTGCCCCCTGCCACTAGGGCTGCTAGGACATCTTTGCAGGAGATGTAGAGTGTCACATTACAAAGGAAATCAAGCCAAAGCCTGCAGAATGTTCTCTACATCCCAGTGTGCCCTGCACTGAGCAGTGGTGGTATCTGGGCTAAGGTAGGCAAGGTTGATGGTCCTGCTGGGTCTTGCCTTAGCTTTCTCAGTTTCCTGAGAAACCAGTGTCCAGGTTGGAAATATTCCTTAGCTTCAAAGCAACTGGACTTACATGCCCCACACGGGAAACTGAGGCACGAGGGTCACTGCTCTATCTACCCGCATCAGCATGACACTGATTGCCATGTATAAACAGAACATTATACTCTGGGCCCCAAATGAGGAAGACAAAAAACTGTGACTGGAAACTATGACCTCGACTGGCATCCCCAGCGCTGGCCAGCCCAGGCCCTTCAATGCCCTCATTGTATCTCCAGCTCCATCTTAGGTCTCCAAAACCCCAGTGGCTTCCCTGTGCCCTGAAGAAGAAGGCTAGGCAGGGAGAGCCACTGTCTTCTGGACTGAGCATTTGTTCTGTGGGCCCCCTGACAGTGCTCTGGGGTTGTAAGATTATGTGAGGGGGTCTAGGGAGAAAACCCAGTGTTTAGGAGAAATGACTACCCAACATCCTTTGCTGCTCCTGAGCCAAAGAGAACAGAGCTCTGTCCTCAGCGGCAATCTGGAAGGAAGGTCCTGTCTCACTCTGAGCCACACAAAGGTCAAAAGCCAGCCTTGGAGGACTTCACCACCCTTCCCTGAGGCTGCCTAGACAGTTAGGTTCAGTTCTCCTTTAAGGGTTAGGCTTAGGCCTGGGAGCAGGACTGTGAGGAGTGGATGGGACAGGGTAGTTCTCATAAGACTCTGTTTGCTTCCTGATTCTGAGGCTTGGCAGTAGGAAGGCCAGGCCTGCCCAGAACAATGGCCGGAGGCAGGCCTGGCCAGCTCAGTGGAGGGAGGGGTTTCTAAACAGGGCTGCTGTTCCACTGAGACTCAGCCAAGCGGGCTATGATGGGCCATTCCTCTGCTTCTTCCTCAGATGCTGCCACCTGTCCTGGAAGCCTGGATTGTGCCCTGAAGAGGCGTGCCAGATGTCCACCAGGTGCACACGCCTGTGGACCATGCCTTCAGTCCTTCCAGGAGAACCAGCAAGGGTTCTGTGTGCCCAGGATGCACCAGTCTTCTGGTATGAGTATAAATTCAGGCAGAATGGGTGGGTGAGATATCTTCCCTCCCTTCCTGCCTTGCCCTGTGGGCTGAGTGCTCAGGTCCAAGACTAGAACTAGAACTCTTGTCACTCTAGAAGTGGCAATTCTCTTTATCCTTCCAAGATGATGCTGGCCCAGTGTTGGAACCAGGCTGAGGCCTATGGCAGTTGAGTCCTTCTAAGGCAAAGGGTGACCTCAGAAGGACGAGAGGTCAGAACATTAGGGCTTGGGACGTGATAGGTCAGCCAAAAGCTGTTATGTTT